TGCCACCGTAGCAATGGACAAGCACACGAATTGGCCTCTTCTTGCCTCCACGCTTCCGACCACCTCCCTGAAGCTTCATCGCCTCCAACAAAGCAAGAGCATTACCGAGCTCACCAGGGAATGTCTCATCGGCCACCTTCAAGGCACTCTGCCTTCCATCGGCACTCTGCCTTCCATCAGCGGCTCTTCCGAACAGGCTGCCCATGTCACTTCCCTTGCTGAAGCCCTTGTCATAGGAGCAGCCATAGCCAAATGAGCCCTTCGTCGATGCCTTCTGGCTTTGCATGTGATTGGAAACCTGACAGGGGCCGCTGTAGCCCTTGCTGATTGTCTTGCCCTTGCCCCTGCCGCCATTGGCCTTGCCCATCATTTTGCCCTTGATGGCACTCTGCCTTTGACTCTGGCTGAACTCCTCTGCTGAGCGCTGCCAGCACATCATAATCTTTCTGAAATCTGAAATGAGGCGGCGCCAAATGGTCTTGAACTCATGACTTCTTTGTTCAGCATCAAAGTCATTGGCATGTGTTTGATCCCAGCCACCATACCGAAGATGTGCAGTGCCAAACGGTCCACAATTCGCCAAATACTGATACCAGTCCCATGGCTCAAAATTCCGAGGTCTGTCATCTGCATTCATAGAGATGACAATGTCAGGCTTGACCCGGAGCTGGTCATATCGGATCGGGCAACCAATACTGCCAACAAACAGTTGCCACTGGGGATGGTCGTAAATCAAAACATCATCCATGGGCCACGTCTCGACATCATGCTGGCATGGCCGAGGTGGCGGGATCGACCCAGGCAGCACATCTGTCTGGCCGGTCCATGCTTTGTACAACTTCATATCCATATCTCCGAAATCTGAGATGGCCTCAACTGCCAATTTGATTCGTTGATCCAATTGTGCAGCCCTTTGGATCTTTCGGAGCCCGGTGGTATAGTCGGCAGCTGATCTGCCACAGTGTAAACAATTCCACCGAAGTTGTTGCACGGCTTCGTTCCAGTAATCACTGCCAAGGTCAATGTGATTGGCCTGATTCTGATGGTCAGCAGCAGAACTCTGGCACTCTGCCTCGGAACTCCCTGAGCACCTTGAAACGGTCGTCGGCATCACTGCTTTCATCGAGCACACAATTGTCCAACGATTAAAACATTAACAGTGACTAATGCATCACTATACAGTACATTAACCAATGATATGTAACAGTGTGTTACTACTGTTACATCAGTATGAATGAATCACTTGATTCCCTGGCCGGCAGATGTCGATCATGTATGGTGCAAAGCAACTCACTGACAGACTATGCAGGCAGGCAGGCAGCCAGCCAGCCTCGGAGACAGCAGGGTCCTGAGGACATCACTGCCACCCGGCACTGTGTAGTCAGCATGTCATGCTGGGTAACCTTTTTGAATCCAAGTTGCGCACACTACCGCTGAGGTCTCAAATCGGACAGTCTAGCTCTGCTGGCGAGATCGTCGAATTCAAAATCCTCTAAGCACACGCAAACCCGGCACTCTGCCTTCCCCAACATCCGTAATACGGTCTCGGAGGCTGTACAAACACGACAAATCATTGATTCAGTGACGACACAACTTCGTCTGACACATTGTAATGTAAAATTCCTGGCACTCTGCCTTGCCGCACAAATCTCGGAACGAGTATGCACAGGATCATGTCATTGATATGCCAGTCTACTTGCAAGACTTGCCCACGCTCTTCAGAATTCAGAAACATCCACAATGTCGAAAAGGACTCCTCTAGCAGCTCGTCGAAATAAATCACATAATCATCGTCGTCAAAACTGTCCGCGACCGAGCCCACAAACGAACCCCCAAACGCCGCAGTGCTTGCAAACTCGCCAACAGCCAATAAGTCCGAGACCGAGCCCAGAGACTCACTGTCACTCCACGACGTCGACGACATCTGCCGGCTTGCACGGAGGCCTACTACGACTTAGACTAGAGACAGAGCAGGTCGTCGGGATCACTGCTTTCATCGAGCACACTTCAATTGTCCAAAGATTAAAACATTAACAGTGACTAATGCATCACTATACAGTACATTAATCAATGATATGTAACATTGTGTTACTACTGTTACATCAGTATGAATGAATCACTTGATTCCCTGGCCGGCAGACAGATGTCGATCATGTATGGTGCAAGGCAACTCACTGACAGACTATGCAGGCAGGCAGGCAGGCAGCCAGCCTCGGAGACAGCAGGGTCCTGAGGACATCACTGCCACCCGGCACTGTGTAGTCAGCATGTCATGCTGGGTAACCGTTTTGAATCCAAGTTGCGCACACTACCGCTGAGGTCTCAAATCGGACAGTCTAGCTCTGCTGGCGAGATCGTCGAATTCAAAATCCTCTAAACACACGCAAACCCGGCACTCTGCCTTCCCCAACATCCGTAATACGATCTCGGAGGCTGTACAAACACGACAAATCATTGAAGCAGTAACGCCAGAAATTCGTCTGACACATTGTAATATAAAATTCCTGGCACTCTGCCTTGCCGAAAATCCCGCCGAAGTCTCGGAAAGAGTGTGAACATGATCTGCTCATTGACAGACCAGGCTACTTGCAAGACTTGCCCACGCTCTTGAGAATTCAGAAACATCCAGAATGTCGTAAAGCACTCCTCTAGCATCGTGTCGAACGGAATCACAGAATCATCGTCGTCAAAACTGTCCGCGACCGAGCCCGCAGTGCTTGCACCCTCATCGTCAACCAGAACCCAGTCCGAGCCCACAGACTCACTGTCACTCCACGACGTCGACGACATCTGCCGGCTTGCAGGGGGGCCTACTACGACTTAGACTTGAGACAGAGCAGCTGTAACACGACTATAGTAGATTACGCAGGGCAACAGCGAGCACAACTGCTGCAGCGGCAAGTTGCGATACATGACACGCTCACTGACTATGCAAGGCAGCTTGTCCTCTGCGATGGCAGCATGTCCTCAGGATCCTCGTCATGAGCCTCGGTGCCAGGACTGTACCATAATAATGGAAGTAGCTGAAGCAAGCTGATGCTGAGATCCCAGCAGTTGGCATCCACTTCTCGATGGGCTGGAAGCCGATGAAGACCGATGGGAGAGAAGGAAATGGAAGAGAAGGCGTTCACTAGGCTTGGATTCAAACCGAACACTTAGACCTGGCCAACGGTGTGGGGAGCAACCCCGATGGGGCAGGGACTTAAGTAAGGCAACCTCGAGAGGCTCGACTGGCACTCTGCCTCTGTCGATCCAAGTCGCAAGGCTCCCTAACTAACGTGACAAGCATGGATGGCCTCCCCTCCTGGTTGGGAGAAAAATAAAAAAGCCACAACCACTGGACCACCCCACCCGGCACTTTAGCCCATGTGCCCGGGTGTCATATGCCACTGCCCTGGCACGTTGGCCCCAAGGCGGTCCAGGTACCATCGACAACACCTGACACCCGGCCAACGGTGTCCACGAACCGAGATGGGCAGTCGATCCGTGTGGGTAAGGTGGCACTCTGCCTCTGTCGATCCAAGTCGCAAGGCTCCCTAACAAAACGTGACGACAAGCATGGATGGCCTCCCCTCCTGGTTGGGAGAAAAATAAAAAAGCCACAACCACTGGACCACCCCACCCAGCACTTTAGCCCATGTGCCCGGGTGTCCTTTGCCACTGCCCTGGCACGTTGGCCCCAAGGCGGTCCAGGTCCCATCGACTCAACACCTGACACCCGGCCAACGGTGCCCACGAACCGAGAAGGGCAGTCGATCCGCGTGGGTAAGGGCAAGATCTCAAGGCAAGTCAACATGTCACTACGGCCTCCCTTCTTTGTTCAATCACAACCCAAAACTATTTAAAAAGATTAAATATTAAAAATTATTAACTTCAACAACAAATAAACAACAATTTTGTAGACATACAGCAGCAGGAAACCAGGTAGAACAACAGGAAGCCAATTGACTCACTCAGAAACAAAATTCACAAACATGTATTTTTTTACACCAAAAATAAAATAAAAGAATTTTAACAACTGTAAAACACAAAAAAAACTATTTAAAAAACTTTTAAATACAAAACAATACTTTTAAATACCAAAAAAACACTTTTAAACACAAATAAAGCCAACCACATACAAAAATGAGATTTTGGGTTCCTTTCATATAAGCCTTGTTGATCTAAACCCTGTGGTTCTGGTTCGGCGCAAAGGGTTAAGGATTCTCAGCTTGCTGCCGGTCTCCCTCAGAGACCTCGTCGAGGGCCCGCTTGCGCGAGCGCCGCTTGCGCCCCTTCTCAGGCAAGGCCAAGCTCGCCAATCCAGATTCAGCTGAAACGCCAATCCTCGAGGTCCCTCGATCCAGCCCCCGCAACAGCACCCATGAAGCAGTATCCCCGTGAAGCCCTTCTGACCGTTCCTGCAGTGGTGCCCGACGCTGAGTCTCATCTATATGATACACCAGCCAGTCAACAAGCTCATCAAATATGCAGAGACCCAGCTCATCCACGAGCTGCCGGGCAATATCCCCGGCATCATCAATCGAGACCGAAGCTAAGGCAGACCCCCAGAGCCCGGCCTCCCTAAGCTTTGCCAAGCATCGTGCAGAGGTCTCCTCGTCCATCACACCATGGCGAGCCCACCTCTACACCGAGCGTGGCCAAGGCCACGGACTACTGAAACTCCAAGAGCTTCAAAATCTCACCACTTGACCCTGTGGCTGCCATGCAATAGACATGATTCGCATGCAGCATAAAATAATCAATCAAGATAAAAAGGGAAGAATCTCTGCAAAGATTCACGCGTTCAATTTCCCCCAAAAAGGAACGCCCCCCCAAGTCCAGCTTCTTCGAAGCCTGGTGTCCCAGTTTCCGGAAAAAGGAACACTCAAAATCAAAAAGAAAATAAAAGCTCCAAAGAGCTTTTGCCTCCCGCAAGAGAAGGTACACGCAGTGTACCAAGCACATGGGTTTGAAGAGCACACACACTGACGCAACAAGTCGCGAACGCATTCATAGACCCTGCAGCGTTGCCAGAATCCGTGTGTAAGCGGGTGCGAACGTTGTGGCTGACGCAGAGGGAGCTCCAGGAGGCTTCAGGGAACTGAAGCTGCATAAAAGCGTTCAAGAATCGAAGAACGTCGGAAAATTGCTCGGTACCCTGAAAGATGCCCGACCTGGCGCCATTGTCAAAAGCGAAAGCCCCCAAATTGAAATATGCTTCAGAGGCTGCGATGGCATTGTCAGGGCAGTGAGAAGAAGAATTGAAGGGAATGGAAAAGTACTGCGCTAGAAGCTCCAAGCAAGTAGCGAAGTCGAGAGAGCCTTCACTGAGTGCCGATGCTGCATCGGAGACTGGGGCACGTGCCTTGGGCAGTGCAGAAGTGGCACCTGCTGAGCCTGACGGTTGTGCCGGCACACTAAGCGGGACGGTCGTGACCTCCTCAGCGATGTCCCGCATCTCGCTGAAGTGGGTTTCCTAATGCGGGGTAGAAACATGTTGCGAAGCTGGATGATTGCCTCCGCAAGCTGCGCCGTCACTCTTAGGCACTGCGCATCTGTGCAAGTAGCGGCAAGTGGCCGGGTCCTTGCACTGCCCGCTCTGGTACCTCATGCAAAGCGTCTGGCGTTTACCATCCATGAAGAGGGTGGAAAGCCACTTGCCGGTGGGGGTGGCTTGCTTGTTGTCCTTGCCCTTGCCACCTTTGCCCCCTCTCTCGAAGCGCTCACCCTTCTCGCCTTTGCCGTCACGGCCTTTTCCTCCACGGCCACCGCCTTTGCCGCCTCCACCGTTGCCTTTGAAGCGGGCCTTCCAGCTGTTGTCCGGGTCGAACTTCGGTTTGGGAATAAAGGGCCTCGGTGCAAGCAGGCTGTGCATGTCAGAGCGCACTTCGGCCACTTCGTGAAGCGCATCGTCCAACTTCCAGTGGTGGACATTGACTAAGTCGGCGACGATTTCCCAACAGCGGCGGTCAGCGGCCTGGGCTTCCATAGTAGTGGGACCTCGTAAGCTGGCGGCGGCATCTTACTTCGTGAAGCAGATCCTCATGAAGCGTTTGTTATAAAGCTTCAGAGAGCCAAGATGTGCACCTTGGCAGAGCGCAATGGAATTGGCCGCCAGTGACATAAGCTGAGTGACGAGGCCAAAGGAAGCGGGGCCTTCATGTATGTCACGTGTAGGCGCCTCGTCCAGAAAAAGCTCTGTTAGGTCAAAGCGTGCCTGTTTCCTGGGCCGAACAAGGAGACTGTCTTCTTGAGCACGAGTGCTTAAGCGATACTTCCAAGGAATCCATCGCACCTCCTTGTCTGAAAGCATCTTATTGGTGAGGGCCAATAAGCGGGCGCTTGGGAAGCTCTCGGCGTCAAGAAGTTCAGTGGGGTAGTCCTCCTCGAACCTCTTCCTAAGCGCTGCGGTTCGCTCCCCACTCAGACGCGCAGGCCAAGCCTCTTGCCAGGAGCTGGAAAGCGGAGGCGTGGCCGGGGGGGCCGGGTTGGAAGCTGAAGGCCCGTCACCAAGCGGTGTGAGAGCGGCTTCCAAGGATGCCATACCCTCTGACGTTCGGCATTTGCAGAGAAGCAAGCGAAGCGAGGCTTTGGTGATGAAGCGCTCAGCGGCATCGGTAACTGAGGCTTCCGCCACAAAGTGGTTCACCAGCTCTTCAAGCTCTGCCGAAGTGGTGCAGGACCGGGCAAACAAAGCAACGTCGAATGGCGAAAGCAAAGAGGCGACAGCTGCTGGCACATTGCATTCGGCCACTAGTTGCGTGAAGTCAGACATCTTCGCTTGGGTGCAAATACTACCAAAAGGAGGCGAAGCACTGAAGCTGAGGGTGCTGCCCGTAGTGGTCCTGCAGCAGGAAAACTGTTCTTGGTACTGACAAGTGGGCATCTGTGGCCTGTAACGTGGGAGCACGGGAGTACCCAGGGCGGGGGGGGCCGGAAATCTCTTGATCCAAGCGGGAACAAGAGTAAAACGAGCTACAAGTTCAAAGCGTGAACTGTTCCAAAGCGGGCGGAACGTGTGCGTGAAGCGGCTTCTTGACGCTCTCTACCACGGGCCCTCTTGCAGTCTCTGCAAAAGTGGGTAGTGTGGTAGCTGTTGGAGCGTTGCTGAAGGTAGCCTGGCAGTGTCCAAGCGAGTATTGGGCTTACGGCATGCCCAAAGCTCCTCGAAGTGGTCGACCTGGGTACGAGCACGAACACATGGGGTGGCACCGGAACGTGAAGCCGCATTCCCGGGCGTCGCGGAGGTCACCATACTGCTGCTCCAGGGCTAAGAAGGACTGACAATCGTTGCCAACTGAAAAGCAGGAGAGGTCCGGGCAGTACTCCACCCACCCCCTTTTCAGCCCCGCTTCAGGCCCCCAGCATTGTACATGTTCAGCAGTCTACACCACAAAACTTCCCGACAACGAAGGCACTGCCGCACTTTCAGGACGCGTCGGCTTATGCGCATATCCTACGCTTCAGCAGACTCCTGTTCAAGGCATCAATCTCTTTGGCTGCTCCGAGACCGGTCCAGTCCTCACCGGCAGCTTTGCGAGTGCCCTCAGAACTGCACCTCCCGGCTTTGCGCGCTCCCTCAGCTGGCATGATGACAGCAAGAACAATCATCAGGTATGCGATAAGCGGAACAAGGTTCTTTTTGACCAGCTTTGCAAATCGCGCGTCTCGGCCTTCGGCTGGTTCTGCTCTTTGAGCTGCCAAGATTGCTCACCGCTGGATATGAAGACCTGCACTGGTGCCCCTTTCTGAGAGGAGCGTCCAGCATCCATGAAGTGTCCTGCCGCAGCCATGCTGACAACAGAAGTGGAAGTTGTGGGCTACTTTCTCACTGAAGTTTGAACCAGCTGGTTTGCAATGCAGGCACAAATCTAAAAAGAGACCAAAAACTCTTCATGAAACACATGCACTGAATTGCTCTGACAGCTCACACATGAAGCAGACATGACTCACAAACGCTCCTGCATGAACATGACATGTTGCACTGCACTCAAAACCGCGTACTCCTTGCGGCCAGGCGTTCAAGAAGGCTTTGTGCTCAATCATGGAACGAAAAGAAGGATGTGAACCGATTTTCTTCAACTACCCAGTTTGAACGGAGTTCAGGAGGTTTCTAGGATTCTAGAGTTAGCACTTCGTTTCGTGAGGCAATCAGAAAGACAATGTTCGGTTCGAACGTGAGAAAGATCAGCAAGCGCCCCTGAACAAGCTTCCTTCCTCAACATTTGAATCATGTGAATGGTTTCCTGTTGCTCGGGTGAGTGAGTAGCGAGACCACTAATATCCTTCCACAACCCACGAAGCATCTGACAGGTCCAAAACACTTCATCAAAGCATAAAGCTCAGTGACAGTGGTACTAAGAGTCGTTTTTTTGATTTTGGTTGATTCGAAGAAGACCAAAGAGCCTCGGGTGTCCCTTCGATTCTTGACCCTTTCATCTGCGATGAAAATAGTCATCGCCCTCTGTGAGGACTTGTCGCTGTTATTACGAAAAGCTGCGTCAGGAATTCCAAAAATCCTTGGTGATCCCTTCGCTGGCCACACCCGCAACTCAACCTCTTCACTGCGTATCTGTCGACACAACTGGTTCAACTCCTTGCAATGACCGACGGTCGGAGCAGCAGATGCTGAAGCCAAGCGAGAGAACTGATAGCATGCCTGAAATTGCGTCCTAGACTGAAGCCAGTTGATGCTACCAAGCAAAGAGCGATAAGAGGTGTGGAGAGCTTTGTCACACGCATCGGCATCCTTAAGATGCTTAGGTATGACGATCTCCTCAAGCTCAGAAACGCACAGCTTTTGATCGATCGATATGTACTTCTTCTTACCTTGTGCATCAAAAACCCAACGAACACGCTGTCCAGTGAATGTAAGGTCGTTCTTGTCCTCATGACCGACAGTGAAGTGTTCCTTATTTTTCTTAAGGAACCAAGTGAGGAACTCAGGGGTTCCACTTATGATGAGATCATCAACATGAAGGCTCATCACTCCAACTGTCTTACGACCTTTGCTGGGACTTCCATGCACAGGGTCCACAAAGTGTTCAAGAAGCTGATCAACCAACTCGGGAGAGAGTTCTGATAAGCTCTCGACCTTGTATGAAGCCTTCTCAGGAAGAAACAAAGAGACGAGAACCTCCGCTTCTTCTTCAAGGAAGCAGGTCTTGTCACCCTGGTCCAACCTCAGGTCATGGGCCCTTTCGACGATCCACCATGTCCCTTTACGAAGGATCATGGAAACTCGATAAGGGTAGTCCTTGACCTGATAGACAGGTGCAGGAGTACGAAGAGCCTTGGCCCTATGAGAAACGAGAGCATGCCCGTTCTCGTAAGGGAACCAACCTCTCTTCTTACAAGCAACACTGCCCAAGAATCCAAGAAGTTTGTCATCCGTCACAGGTCTCCAAGCATAGTCAACCATCTTCTTGGTATCAGTGTTAAAGCACTGAGCAATATCGGAACATGAAAGATAGGATCTCTCCTCCGCACGGTCGCAGGAAGAACGGTTTCCTTCATCGTATTTGTAGCATGTCATGGCATGAAGGGCAACCTCCTTGAGGTAGGCAGGTTCCACCTCCAGAGAGGTGCTTCCTGCTTCAGGTTCCTCCTCCTGAGAGGAGCTTCCTGCCGCAAGGTGGCTTTTCCCCTTCTTGCCTTCAATGCCGTCGTATGCGACATAAGTGCATCGGTCAGCTCTGGTCGGTTCCATGCCAACAGACCTGAGGAATTTGTCCAAACGATTCCACCATCTTCTCGGTGCATCGTTCAGGCCATAGACCGGTCTGAGACAAAGGCCGACCATCCAGGTAGGCAAGCCGATGTCAGGAGGCAACTGAACCACAACCATGCGAGATGACAGATTGTAGTGCTCCCCCTGAAGGAAAGCGGTCTTAAGATCCAAATGAAAAAGATCCCAATAGTGATTGGCAGCGCACTGCGCAACCAAACGGAAACCATACCGAGTAGCCGTAGGGCTGTCCGTTTGTTGATCCCAGGCAAACTTGTCCTGAAACCCACGACACACCCAACGTGCTTTGAACTTGGAAAAGTAACCGTTCTTGTCAACCTTCACCGTAAGGACCCAGTGTCCGGTAAGAAAATTGACATCGCTTTTAAGCTTGCGGCGGTCCGTGAGCCGAATAGCATCGTTGTCCAAGTAACTCTTGAGCTCCTCAAGCTTAGCCTTCCGAATTTCGGCGGCATACTTGCGCTGCATCTCCGGCGTCAGGGTACCCGCTTTGATTTTGTCCTGCTTGGTTAACCAAGACGCAAAACCATCAAGAGGAAGCAGGTTCATGAGAACCCGGAAAGTCACCCGAAAAATCGGGATCCTTCTTTCCTGCAGGCTGCCCAGGCAACAACACAACCGGAGGTCCCACAACAGTGCGCGACTTAGCCTTTGACACATCATCAGGATGCGCACCACGAGCCCGTGTCTGAGACACATTGCGAGGTGACGGCGGTCGCAGACTTTGCGGCACTGGAAAGTGAGGATGCGGCGGAATCGGAACAGGAACAATAGGTGAAGGCGGTGCCGGCCAAGGCATCGGTGGACTGAGAACCTGATCGGGTTCGCAAACTGAGGCGGAGCCCCAGGAGAGTCGGGAGGACCTCCAGGAGGAGGCGACTCTTCGTGAAACTCCATCGGAAGAGGAGGCTCTGCCGGCGAAGGGCCATAACCAGGTCCCGGTCCCTGAGGACCGCCTCCTGGCGGATGGTTGTTACCGTTGTCCGGATCGTGATCCAGGTCCGAATCGTCATCTCCCCCTGGCACCGGTACCTGAGTACCGCCTCCAGGAGGTTGTGACGGAGGGTCACGGCGGACATGCAACTCAACAGGATCATCGTCCAGATCCTGCTCTGGATGCTGCGGTGGCATATCCTCATCGTCCACAGGCATATCGCCGTGCGGATCATCGTACCCGGATAGTCCACATCATCATCATCATTGGCCGGTGGTTGCGGTGCAACCGGGGCCGGCGCTGGCTGGTCCGTGAAGTCCAAACCAACATCAGGCCCTCGTCTGGAAGTGTTGTGCTGTGACTCATTCCAGAACACTATCATGGACCAATTCGCTGATTGCATATCCTTTAAGGCAAGGAAGCAACTGTGCCATCGTCACGAAAAACACATGATCCATGTCACTCTTTTGCCACAAAATCACAACAGCACCCGGATGACGATGAACCAAAGGAAGTGTTTTCCCTTGAGTCCCCCTGTAGACGTTACAGTACTCAAAATTCCAGATAAGGAAGAGTCAACACTCGCACATTCTTAATCATGGGTCGTAAAGCGACCGCTTCTGACGATGTGGTAGTGTGAACTTCCAGCTCAGTACCCGGAAGGAGACTGTCAACATAAGACAGAGTCTGGACTAAAGACGATGTAACAAAACGCTGTGGAGCAACAAACTTCAGAGGTGGCGGAAGCTTCCCTTTGTCATTGTTGGAGAGTAGCGAGTACTCTGCTTCTGACGGAAGAACCGGCAAGGCCTCTGAATTTCGGTCTGATCGCAAACACAACGCGCGCAGTGTTCCATCATCGAAATCCTCAAAGATATCCTCGAACAAGTAAGACTGTCTGAGATCTGATTTTTCATCATCCACAACACACTGTGACAGCAAGACAGCAAACCTAGGACCAAGTGCGTTCGCAGAGTCATAGCCTTCTTCCAAAGACTCCAAAAGAGCAAATGATCCCTCAGGCAAACTGGTGAGAAAAGAAATCTCACCACGCTGATGCTCACCGCAGTTCTTGAAAGTGATAAATGAAAGT